AACCCCAGATACTGTTGATTTAAGATATATAAAAASCCAGCAGGAAGGTGTGTGGGAAAGCTTAGGAAGAAACCTGAGTCTCCCTTACAGCATTAGGGCTTTRTTTCTAAAGTGGAGTGAGGGGAAAGAACAGCCTTGCTTTTTYCCTTTTCTACCCATTCCAGTGACGCTGTGAACCAATTTCATCCCTCAAATGAGGGATATGGATAAGCTACTTAAAGTTTTCCCTTCTCCATCCAGCCTGTGTTTGACTACTAAGGATACATAACTGTGATTTCATGACCCTTCTGATGCCGCAAACCATCATTCCCAGTTTCCAGGCTGTAAGCAATGCCCTAAGAGGCATTATTTGCAAACTCTGCAAGAGTCAGACCACACATGCTGCAGCACCGAGTGTTTTCACACTGGTTCCTCTGCCTCCTGGCCAACTCTCTCCTCTCTCTCAAGGCTGAACAGCAGAACAGCTCCCTGAACTGCAGAGAAAGTCAGCCCAYGAGCTCCTAGTTGCTGTGCAGAGGCTCCCCCCTCCAGAAGATGCCACAAGGGAGAATGAAGGTTTCTGCATGGCAGGTTGGCTCCCTTCTTGCTCTGTTTGGTCAGCAGMATTCAGCAGGGAAAGCCCAAGGGGAGCTTGTGGCTGGGAGCCTGTGGATGGACCTGTACACACACAGAGGTGACACTGCAGAAGGGTGGCACTCTCAGGTGCACACACCAGCACATTTATGGATATAAATTCAGTGTCACATTATACATGGTAGATGCCTCCTGCAGGACTCTGTACTGTCAGTTGTGCTTTAACATCCAGAAGGCAAACACGAATTTTTAGATGATGGCCTTTTTCCAGACACAGAAGTGTATCTTGGGAAGCACAGAACTATTATTAGCATGTTTATCCACCCAACTCCAGCAAGGAGCTCAGCAACCTCCTCCAGCCCCACCCGCTGGTGCTCACATCAGYCTGCCATCAAAGGAGGCACTGCCCTGGCAACAAACAGAGAGGGATGGTAGAGACAGAACTGCTTTGGGAATAAAGATGTTGAATGAGTGCAATTGTAGGAGGGAAGGTGAATTATTTTTCTCCCTTCCATTCTTAAAAGGAGATTGATTTAATTGATAACAAACATTCACAGGATGGGTTTTAAGGCTCTGCTGTTTTCCTCCCTCTGCATATCAGCCCATGTGCATTCCTGAGGAGCAATAAAACAGTCTCAACAGTAACATCAAGCCCACAAGGCTGGGGAGAAGCAGGACAAAAGCCTGGTARCTATCAACAACACCAAAAACATCTTCATTAGCACATCAGAGTTGTTCTTCTTTTTTGAGTGAGGTTGCATGACCTCATATTCTCACTCACAAACGGGAGCCAAGCAGTGAGATAAGTTTTACTTCAGATAAGATTAGTGCTGTTTGATCTCCAGGAGAAGAGGTTCTCCAGATTTCCTAACAGCAGCTACAAGTCTGCAGCAGAAATGGCAGCAGCAAGAATGTTAAGGCCAGCTTTCAGAACAGCCACAGTCAACTCACATCTCGGACAGAATATTTCTGGCCTTTACTTTCTGCAGGAAAAAAACCCAAAGGATCTCCTGGGGTCACTACCATATGTCAGGGAAACCAGTGAAGCAGCCTAATCCAGCAGTGTGTTTTTCTTGTTTTACTGTAGGTAAGCTGAAAGGTTTATAACCCATTCCCCAGTTGCTGGATGCCAGCTGTTTTTTGGGGCTGTTTTATGGGTAACTCATCTGGCACCTCCAAAGGGCTCCATTTCCATTCCCCTTTCAAGAACTRCATATAGGAAGAGCTTTTCCCACATACACAGACTTTTTGTTCTTGTCATTCTCTCCACCTCCAAACATMGTTCTCCAATTTTGCATTTAATTTCAGTTCTCATTTCCCCCGTTCTTGAAGAGCATAATTAGATTGCACTAATTACCCAAGACTGGCTAGGACAGGGTGTTGTGCCACTGGCTTCTGCACTGGGGTGAGCAATGAGTTTTCTGATGGGCCACCTGCAAAGGCACCAACAGGTGGTTTTGGGACTGGTTGCCAAGTTTGCCTTGGAAACCTGCCCTGCAGTTTCACTGTCAGAGAAAACACATTCTTCTCCTCCACCACCTTCCTGCCCTGAAGCTAAYAGAGGTTCACCAACATTTGCCAGCAGAGAACACCATCCACTTCTGAAAGCAGGAAAGGCAGCAAGCAGTGAAAACACCAGGGATCAACATTCCCAGGATTCAGTATCAATTGCTAGTATTTCACTGGGTGACCTGTGTGCRCTCCAACATCTTTTCCCACAGCTACAACTTCACAGCAGCAATGCATTGTTTTGCTGAGCAGACACACAGCACTCAGAACTTCTGGCAAAGCAGGAGTGCATGGAAGCTTCCAGAGCATGGAAGAACATCCTTATGCTAGTGGAACTAGTGGAACGGCAAATACTCGCAGCTCAAACAGCGGGGTGCACACTGACAAGATCACTTTTGTTTACTAAACAATTAAATGCATTCATAGAGATCAAACAGACCTGCACTGTCATTTGGYACAAAGCTGGAATAGTGGATGAGCCATCACCCAGTGAGGCACTGCAACTCTGCCGTTCCTCTCTCCCAGGAGCTCCCAGGCAGCAACCCGTGTCCTTATCGACTCCATTTCCTTATTAATTCCTATTGATCTGCTCACTGAGAACTAGGCAGAAATAATATTTTTATCTTCTGTACTCTTGACGGTGCTGCAGTTGGATGGTGAAGCCTCTTGAACAGCTTGGGTTTTCTGTAACCTGGGGAGGATGGATCCGCCCACATTCCCTTRGAGAGTGGGCACTCAGTGAGGGGTACCCCTGGGAAATCATGAAAGCTTGCTGTGCAAATACCTCAGCTGMTGGTCTGCCTGCTCCCTGATATGGAAATTTACAGAATGGTAATTCATCTYTCCAGGCCAAGCCAGTGGCCAAAAATACCCTGAACCATCCAAATCTGGTCAGGATATTACAGCTACTACTTCCTTTTCTTCAATTGCAGATTGGTGTGTTAGCACCAGTGCCATGAGACATGGAGCACCCAGAGAAGAACATGGTTGGTTCTGTGGGGCTCCAAGCCCCAACAAGACCTCAGATGCTCCATAAGCAGCACCATCAGCACAAACAGAGCTATGTAATACAGTTGAGAAAATGTTTACCATCAGCTCTCAAAACAGATTCTTTCATAATAGAAACACTGCAGAGCAGAAAACAGCATTATAATTACAATAAATGGGTGCTGCTGAATTAGAGAAGATCTTTTCTCTGCAAATCCCATTTACACAAGCAGAGGCAATGCTGTAGGAGCAGTTACATTACTCTGTGCACTTCACTGCAGCACTTGGATAATTTGTGTTAGTCCCTCTTCTTTTCAGCTTGCAGGAGGTTTTCTGAAATTCAGAGACTAGTTCCAAGAAAACTAGAGGACTGCAAAATCTTGCATAACACTGAAAATACCAGCAGGTATTRAACAGCAGGTTAAAGGGAGAAGTTGATCAGTCTGTGGAAAGCAGACTTGGTGATGGGATCTTCAGTGTGGTATTGAAAGGTGCAAACAAATTCAATGACTGGAAGCTGGCGTTAAACAAATCAGTCTAAAAATAAGGAAAGGCATTTTCAACAGCCAAGGTAATTAACCTTCAGTACAGTTTACTGATGGTTGTGCTGGATTTTCCATTGCTGGAAACATTAAAAAATAGGAGGTTTTTCTAAATGACTTCCTAAATGCCCAGCATGYTGAAACAGAACAGGATGTTGCTCAGAAAAAGCTAAAAATCACTTTCACCCAGGTTCAGTCCCTCCTCAGTGACAATAAATTTCTGTCCTCACAGCTTAATCTGGGTGGGTTGGGAGCCCTTGGAGAGCTTTTACCATAACCCTGTCAGCTGCCCAAAGACAAAACAAACATGCAGTTTCTGGAGTTTTCTGTCACAACACGTGTCAGGAAAGAACATTTCTTGCACCTCCTGACATGCCCTGTGGAGCTGAGCTCTGCCCTTGCTGTCCATCASAGCCACTCTTCACCTTGTCTGTCCTTCCCAAATATGCTTCAATTCCTGAAAAGCATTATCTGCACATTCCATGCTTGCTCTCCCTTGCCACCACGCCATCCCCCCAGCCCTTTTTCTTGCCCTCATTCCCAGAGGAGCTTGTCTTTCTCCTGAGCCCCAAGGACCAGAGGGGAGAGGTTTAGGGAACTGGGCTGACCTGCTGAATGCACTGAGCACTGCCTGGGGAGCAGCAGAGCTGCCTGAACAGCACTGACAGGAGCAGCAAGAGGAGGGAAGCTGCTCACAGGGAGAGACCCCACCTCTGTGTTTAGGAAGGTCCTTCACAAACACCACAGGACAGTCGAGTTTTACAGCCCAGCCCAGCCCTGGCCCCTGATTTACCATTCATCTACAGGCAAGGCAATTCATCCTGCTGCTTCAGCTCCCCCCAGTACAGAAGCACAGCAGTGATATTTGCCCAGTTACTGCACAGGAGCATTTTCAGGATCAATTAGTTCAGCATTCATGCAAAGCTCTGTGGACAGAAGCCTCAGTACAASCAGTAAGTACCATTAGTGTTTACTGCACTTCAGATGGCTACCACACTGACATTTTCCAGGCATGCACCATTAACAATTTACTAAGATAAATGGCCCAGGAATATGAAAATGCACTTAGGACAACTACCTCCTGCTTACCAGCATACGTTCAGCTGCGTAAATGACACCTCATCGCTCAACGTGTAGCTATGGTAACATTTCTATCTCATATACTGAAGTGCACACACACACACACACACACACACACACGTGGAGCTGGAGGGAAGCCAGGCTACCTCGTTTCATGAAACACAAACACCGAGCCAGGGAACTTTCCCAGGCTCCAAAAGCCAAGCTGCTCCCAGGAGCTGGAGATGAGGAGCAGGCAACTTGCCCCACGCCTGTCAGGAAGGAGATGGGTTAGCAGCAGGAGCCCCACCAGGACCCTGAGGGACTTACTTGAGAGCAGTTTTGTAGTGGTAGATTGCTTCAACGTTACGGCCCTGGTCTTTCAGAAAATTGGCGTAGTTGTAGTGCACCTTGGCGTTGTGGGGCAGGGTCCTCACTCCTGAGCTGTGAAGAGCAACAGAAACAGGACAMTGTTAGCAGCCAGGTCACCACCCCTTCCCACAGGTCCTCCTTCCCCTCATGATCCCTTCTCCTGAAAAGCTTGCTCGTAATCCAAGCASCTCGTCACCTCCTGGGCACTTCTGCCAACGCAGTTCATGTTCTAGCTCCGAGCTCATCCTGTGTGCCAAGTGCCCCAGGCAGACACAAATGTGTGGCAGTGATCCAACACATCCCAGTCCCTGTCACTGCAGGCACCAACACTGCAGCACTCCCTACAGCCAGATGCTGGTGTGTTTTAAAATCTGAATTACTAAATTGAAAGACAAAACAAAAAGGCTAACATTTAGAGGGAGAGAATGTTGTGCTTTCTAAAAACAAGGTCCCTGCTTAAACCTGASTGTCATGAAGCACTTTACAGAAATCTTGATTTAAGCTTGGCACTGCAGATCCCAGAAAGGGTATCTTTTCCACATGCATCAGCCACTAGATGGGATRCATGGCATACTCCAAGTACCAGCACGTGTGCTCTTCCTAAGGCTRAGCTGAGTATTGCCAGGAGGTGAGGGCTAATGGGACTCTCACCCTTCGGTGGCAAAATAACACTCTGGCATTATAGCACATGACTGAGGGTGTGTGGCTGCACAGCCACCTCATTCCTCCCCTTCATCTCCCCTGCCATGTGCAGGCTGAACTCAACATTTGGAATTAATAATGAGGGCACAGAGACAACAGCRAGCATATGCTTATTTCCTTAATTGAGAGCACAGAAAGCAAGGTACACCTTGCACAGCCAGAGGAAATGCCGTTTCAAGGTTGAAGACAGAAAGAAATCACAGGAGCACGTATACCATGGAAACGTTTCCCCTGCAAGAATACAGAGAAGTCMGTACTCTGTTTAATGGGGGAATCCTGTCCAGCACATAAATAGGGGCTCTCTGAGGTAAYGGGAAATAAGGATGGATGAATCTGCTCATGTAAAAACAGACAAAGTGCTCTTTCTTGCTCACAAGCAGAYTCCTGCCAGCTGCTCTCCTTTCTACTCCCAGTCTCTCCAACCCTGCTACCTCAGGTAGGAAAAGCAAGGATTAGAAAACTCCCAAGTCTCATTGCTCTGCCTTGTCTGTCTCTCCTGTCTCACTTTGGTGAGCATGGAAGTTAATCATAATGGGACAGACTCACACAGAGTCCCTGCTGTGGGGTGCACACTGGAAGAACTGCACAAACCCTTCTGGGGAGATTTCACTGTAAAACAGCACTAATGAATTGCAGTGGCAAACATGGTATCCTTCTGGTAATCTGCAGCCAGCAGGATCCAGCCTTGCTAACATCTTCCAAAGCTTTCCCACAACTGCCTTGCAGAGTTCAGCTCAACAGAGCCACRGTTTGCCTTCTAAAATTAAAAGTACACCTTGCATTTGGCTTCCTAATCATCAGGTATTTCCAAATTACTTACTGGGAGCACTACAGGAATAAGACATTTTGTGACTAATCGCTGAATTAAATCAGTTAATTGATGCTATTCTTAAGAGAATGATTTTCTATATTAGTTTTCACAAAGATATACTGCACCAGCAGCAAGTAATGTGTGACTGCTATGGCTGTGTTAATTTCCATTGGCCTTGGGAGCTATTAACTACACACTTACAACCTCTGGGCATTACTGGAATATTAATTCTTATACAGAGAGGGTTTCATTACATCAGCATCAGCRTTACAGGCAGGGACATGGCACTCAAAACTGCTGCTCTCTGGGAGCTACGTGCAAGGAGTTGCTCTGTTACAGCCCCTGCCGAAACAGAGCAGACTGAGCTAACAGTGAGGAGTACATCACATATGCACAAGCACTTCAGCTCTAATGAGATACAGTTTTAACAGCAAGATGCATATGTTTAAATATTTTAATTCTGGGCTGTTTTCTTTTAAGTAGAATTAATTACTAATTCCGCTGGTCCCCCTTRTTACAACACCACTAATAAAGCCTCTTGTATCTGTGTGCTTCTGCCGGTGGCGGGGGTGACACAGGAAAGGCAGAAATGGGTTTGGCTTTTTAAGATGCTCTCTTCTGCATCACACTGCTCCCGCTCCCTGACCTATTTATTCTCCTCGCACGGGCGGGGAKGGGGATGTTTCATTTTGCAAATGCACGGAGCAGTGACTGAGGCTGCCTGGAGCCTCTGYGCTGGGGGAGGCAGCAGCAAACACGGCTCTGCCTGCAGAGGGGAATTTTCAGGAGAGTTYAGACAAACACTCCTGCTAACTGATTCCTGGCCAGTCGAGAACACTRCTCATTGACAGAGGAAACAATGATGTCCACAGTGAAAGCCAAGAAGGAAAGGGTGGAGTATAAATAACAAAGCAGAACACAATGTTTTTCCATTTCTRCTTCCCACAAGCTCCCAGTCTTTTGCAATTTCAATATAATTTTCCAATGTGCTTTTCCAAACTCTCCTATTTCCCTATGCCCCAGCCCAGCWCTCACRTGCCCTTCTGAAAACCTATGGCACYGATCTGGCTCCAGCCAGAAATGAGCCCACTGACATTGGACGTCACTTCTCCAGAGGATTTCCTTCCCTTCTACGACAGCAGTGAGCGACACAAATGGAAAAGAAACAATAGGCAAACATTTTTAAGTTACACTTCCTCCCCATGGAAAAAGRAAAAACCTATTAGCCATAAATCAGAGAAATAAAATACCATTGGTATTTTCCAACCTCGAATACCAGCATTATCCAAATCCTACTTCAGCTGGGAAAAATGTCCTATGATCTCCTCTCTTGTTTTCCTAAGTGCATGTTCTGCTTTGCAAAGTGACTGAGTGCAGGGTTGTGGCTTCCTCAATTTTCTGTGACATCCATGTGAAAAGTGTTCAGTTTAGAGGAACATTAGACCACTCCGGCAGGAACCCTGGGCAACCAATCGGGCCTCCTCTGCTTTGGGAATCATTATCATCAACGAAGGTTCTCTACAGCAAATTATTCTCCAGATGATATAAATAACCACCTTCCTTGGTCTCCTCCCCTTGTACTGATTTCACAGATACCTGTGTTGGGCCATATTAAACTGTCCTATAGAAGATGCCCAAAATGCTTGCTTGGTACTTGCTCTCCTCAGCCGAGCCAGCTTTCAGAATTAATAAAAYAGCACAGCAGTAAATGCCACRTTTGRGGCTGGAGCAGTTTTTGCAAATTCCTGACGTCAGCAGGCCTGGCTTGGGAAGGAGAGCTGCTGASTAAGAAAGCGTCACTTTTGTGCGGTTCCTTTGCTGGTTACAGCAGCTCTGTTGTTTCCAGGCACCGTCACAAACGTGGGCAGTGCGTGCGGACGCTTTCCAGGAGCAACAGGAAACGTGGCAGTTTGATATGCCTTGGAAAGGTCAGCCTTTCCAGCTTTTCCCTCTCCCTGCCTTCAGACATTAACCCTGACCACAGTTTGACTCTGACCTCCTGTGTGTTCACTCTGGAGGGCAGTTCCTTAAATAATTAACAATTATTTATTAAATTATTATTAAATTATTATTAAAAATAATTAACAATAATTAACCCTGATCACCTGCCAGCACAGTCAGACAAACTGCTTGGGGCTTCTGGAGACATCTTGGAATAAATGCCTCAAATACTTCTCTGCATATTTGGCCACATCTAGGATTCATTGAGTCCTTGCACACAGGTCTGTGTATCTATGTGCAGGTGCATCATTTCCTCAGACAGTAGAATCCTGCCCCACACTGCTGCTTTCAGCCAGGGCGGGCCAGGATTTCTGCATCACAAAAACTTGGTCCCTGGGCTGAAGACTGAGTGGCAACAGTGGCCCAGAGATGGCAACAGTGCTGCTGCACAGTGTCAAAATAGGGTAAGTCTTGAGRAAGGGACAGAATCGGGTACAAGCACAAAACCAGGGACACACTGAGTGCACAAACATCTCCTGGACCAGCACAGAAAAAGTATATTTAACAGAACAGACCTCAGAGAAGAGAATCAAGATACATCAATCCTGCAGGAAAACATCCAAGCAAATGGAGGAACAAAAAGTAAAGGTGAAGGGGAAAAAACTAAGAGGAGGGCAGAAACAATAATTAATTAAAGTAGCAAATGAAAAAAAGAGGAATGAAGAACTAGGATTGTGAATAAAGATTCTCCCAGCACACACTTTAAAAAAAAAAATTCAACACACACACAGACTACCACGAAGGCTGATTTATGTCTCCTTTCCCACATCTATAGATTTGCTCTGTATCCTCCTCCTGTTCTGTCCCTTAAAATTTATTGTTGTTTCACRTTTCTCCATTCATTTCTCCCTCCTCTTCTCATCACCCTCCTCCTCCTGCCCCAAAGAAGAGATCTCTGACTCCTGGGATGACATTATCTTCTTGCTATACTATTCTTCTTTTGCATTTCCTTCCCATCAACAAGGATCCTACCACATTACAGACTTGTGAGAGATGTGTGACACCTACCCAAGAAGATCTTAAAAGGACCACACAAAGGTCAGTGAGGGTGAACAGCACAGTGAAGACAGCCATGAGAAATTAAAACCACTSTTTAAAAAGGAACACACAGCTACAGAAGGAAAAAGGAAAAGAGCAGAAACGTCAGCCAGTTAAACATAAACCATAATTAGGCAGACCAAAAGAGATTTAAAGAAAAACTTGCTAAAGCTATCAAAGCTAATAATGGAATACATCAGATAGAGGAAACCTGCCAAAGATCCCCTAAGGCAAATAGATGATGGAGGTCTAAAAGTAGTGCTTGAAGAAGAAAAGACCACAGCAGAAAAGCTAAATGGATTCTCTGMACCGGTGCTCACTACAGGGCAACAGAAGGAGCTGACAGGAGCCTTTCCTCACAGGGGCAAGAYTGAAGTACTGTCCCTAACTGAAAGGACAGTAAAAGAGGCTTTAAAACAAATYAACACCCTGAAGAGTTATGAATCCATTGGGCCTGGTAGAATGAATCTAAAGGAAATCAAACATGCAGCTATGAGCGGTGGTAGGTAGCCCATAAATTACGTGAGACTGGCACTAGGGGAATGGGGGACAATGAACATGACTTCATCTGGCTCCAAGGAAGGGATCTTGAGGGACAAACAGACCAGAAAGTCTGATTTTCACTTTGGGTAATTTGGGGAAAGCCATAATAAAGCCTAATTGTAGCAAACTTCTGGATAACTACAGTCCAACAAAGAATTAGCCTTGTATATTGGAGAAAGAAGTTAGTTGGGCAGACCTGCTGTACATATATGGTGCTGAAATGATGGAAAGCCTTTACAAATATCCAAATAGAGCCCTGTCAATCAWAATCACACACACCAATGCTGAGCATTTTAATGTTCAAAGAGGTTTTTTTATAAAATTCCGCACTAAATACTTTAAATGTCTTCAAGGCATCATGGAGTAAGAGGGGAAGATCCTCTCATGAATCAATACTTAGCTAAAAGACTGCAAGCAAAGAGCTCAAGTATGTGAACAGTTTTTGCAACCAGAGGAGAGTGAAAGCAGGGTTCCCAGGAGACAAGCAGTGGCACCAAAGCCACTTCAGATGTTCACAAAGGATCTACAAAGGGGAGCAAATAAGGAAGGGACATGTTTGCTGATGACACCAACGTGAATCACAGTGCAGGAATTAAAGCTAACTAGGCTTTGTTGCAGAAGGATCTCACGGTTTTGTAGGCTGGGCAAGAAGATGGCATATGAAATGCAGTGTTGGTACAGACACGAGTATCTGAGAGGGTGTACGCACACACACTACATCTGCACACAGATTGATGTCTGAAAAACAGGTATTTACAATCACAGTAGGTGTCTTGGAATTTGTGTTGGGACCACTGTGAAATTTGCACTCACTGCTTAGGAGAGGTCATTCATAAAAGGCAAGCTGAAGATCAGGAATCAGTAAGAGAAGAGAACAAAAGCCAGAAAGCAGTCCTGTGTTATTGTGCTGCACATGCCTCTAGAAAGGTGATTCTGGCCTCKTTCCCTAAAGGATGGATTAGAAAATATCCAGAGAAGACTCACAAGAGGGATCAGAAATGCAGAACAGCTTCCATGTGCAGGGAGTACAAAACCAGCTGACTCCAGCACRAAAAGGAGACAGCCTTAGGTGAAGGCATGGGGGTTGGAGCACGGAAGTGCCTTCAAGTGACAAGCTGATGGTTACTAACTACKCATCCAGCACACCAGAACTAGGGGACACCAAAGCAGATAATCAGGCAGAAGGCTCACAGCACACAGAGGGAAATCTTRGTGTGCACACTCTGTAATTTAACGACAGAGCCCAGTGCACAGGATGCTGTAGAAGCCAAAACTATAAATAGATTTGAAAAAGCAGTCAGAGACATGATGGAAGAAAAGTCCATCAGTGGTTGTTAAAAGCAAAAATAGCAAGTAACTCCTGACTCAGGAAGTCTTTAAACTGCAGATTACTGCAAGCTGGGAAAGAACTGGAGAGAAGCATTATTGTTGCTGGCCCTGTTCTTACAATGCTTTTTTTCAGCAGCTGCTGCTGATTGCTCTCAGGGCAGGCCACGATATGAGGTGACCCAGCAGGAACACACTCASAGTTCTGCCAGACCCTCAAAAGCCTGGGACAGACCTCTGCCCTGGAACTGCCCCCAAAACATGTGAGCTGAAGAGGAAGACAGCTCAAGCCAAAGCACTGAGCCCTGAGTTCTGCCCTGGGCTACCCCAAGTCCCTCCCCTGAGGTAAAGGTGTGACAGCTCCATCACAGCTGCCCTGCAGCCACAGCACAGCTCAGAACTGGAGCTGGCTGCAAACTGCCACCCTGCTTTGAATGGAGGCTGCAAGGACAGAATTCCATTTTCTCCCAGCTAAGGAGACRTAACCTGATCTCTCTCTTCTGCAGCAGACCCCACTGCGTTCCATATCATCCCAAGAACACTCCTTAGCAGAAAGGAAAGCCTTCCTTCCATCTGCTGCAGTTTGAATTCACTGTTGTTAAACCTGGGTGACCACAACTGTGCACAACACAACCCTGTGTGACGCCTGCAAGTCTGCAAACAGAACTGTCATATTCCCACCTCCCTTTCAGCAGGAGAGCTGTCCAACTTGGAAACCCTTCTGCTTTCCTCCAGGTTTGGGCTGGAGGTGCATCCCACGTGGATTGCTGTGTGAGTCTGGGCTGGTCACCATGGCTGCTGCTGTTTGGACAGCAAACAGTGCTGSAGGGAGACAGGCAGGGAGCTGAGATGGGCTCAGCTGCTCAGAGCATGGTGACAGCACTGCCAAGGCTGTGCCTTTGGTCCCCATTCCTGGATGGGTCATTCACTCAGGAGCTGCACTCACTGATCCTTGTGGGTCCCTTCCAACGCAGAACATTCCAAGAATCATGCAGAGGGAAAAAGCCCCGATTCCAGATTTTTTAAAAAACAGCCCCACTAAGAGAGCTCCAACCACTTCAGTAGTGTTTCCTGAAGACCACAGGGTGCGCATAAAAAACAATTTCATACTTYTAGTGCTGCATAAATTAAACTTTGCTCTGGCCAATAAGTTAGAGAATAAAGYTCAACCCGTGTGCAGATCACCTGCGTTTCTGCCATTACCTCACAATTAGACAACTGCTGAAAGCAGCTGGAGGCAAATGCAATACATTTTCTAGCAAAACACAAAATGAAACAGTCTGTTTCAGCGCAAGAAAATACATAAATGAGGTTGTTAAGAGAGCTGTTTGGCAAAGAGTAATCAAATAAAATGAAATATGGTACATTAAGTTTGGCACTTCRTGGCATTTTATTTTTGTCATTAGAACATTGCTAAAGAAATTTCAATATATTCAGCAGCGTTACTATGGCATTCTGGAGAGTAGCAAAAAACTTTTGCTGTGTCTTTAGAAATGAAAATGTTACACTATAGTTAAATCTACAGAATCGAAGTTATTTAAAACCACCATGTCTTAAAAATTGAAGAACCAAACTTTGTGCATAAGTATTATAAGCGCTGAGACCAGTTTTTGCTCAGTTATAAGGCAACAGAAAGTAGATGTCATTTCATGATAATAAAAGTATTAATTAGATCAACGCACCAATAGCAGGACTCATGSTAAACAAAACTATTCCATGTACAAAACTTACTTGAAACCATATAAAAATGCAAGTACTCTCCCATGGTCACTCCTACCTGAAAAGGGATTCTCGTGACAGCCAGATTTCATTCTGCTTCACGGTCTTCCAAGAGAAGAGCAGCAGCAGCAAAGCAAAGAGRGTCAGAACAGTAATTCTCCATTTATTTAGCCACGTAGACAGCTTTTTTAGACCATGGACAAAAAGGATGCAGTAGCCCATACTGTTAAAAAAAAAAGAAAAAGAAAAAAAGGAAAGGGAAAATGTACCAAAAGTTATATTTCAAGTGTCTGGTTTCTATACAAGACCATCCAGCATTGCATTTATTACACAATTACAGGGGGTTTTGGACTAATGATATTTTCTGGGCTAACAAACTTCAGTTCAACAGCAGTTTTCCTCAAGTCACTACACAATTTCCAAATTAATCTAAATGATAGACCCGGATGCCAAAAGAACAGTCGCATACATAACACCACCCAGCATAATGGCAGCTTACAGCAGCCACAGAAGGCAGCTGCTTTTCTGAACAGCAAGCTAAGAAAGCACCATGTAATAACAGTAATACTGAGCACCACTGGAGCAGTGGGGAAATGAAAGGCATTTTAACAGGGGGAAGTATCTGAGCAACCCCAGTGGTGGCTGCTGTTAATTCTGGTTTACAAATCGTGAAGCTGAGGCAGGAGAGCGAGTGCTGCAGCCAACGCTGCCGCAGGAGCAGTGACAGAGACCACACAAGGCAGGAGGAGTGCCTGCCTGGGGCTTGCACTTCTACACCAGGGCCATCCTGCCCCTTCCAGTGCCCAGGAAGAACAGCTGAGATGTGCTGTGGATCTTCCTTGCTGCCCTTCCATGAGCTGACACATGGTCATCTCCAGCCCCCAGCTCCCAGCACTCTCCATGAATAACTACTGTGACATTTCCACAAGCCACATTTGGACTGAAGTCTTACACCTGTATAAATCTAAACCAATTCAGTAATTATTTACCTTAATTCAARGGTTAMRTTAATTTCTCCAATGATGTCYCTCTKAGCTRGAAATTCAGTGCTTTTGATGYCTTAAGATTYTTAGCTTCTATATTTTCATGCGTCTGTATTCTCTAGTACAACACTAAAACTCCCACCTTTAGACAAAACAATCCCTCTCTGAGCCTGAATCCAAGGACACCTCGCTGCCTCAGAGCCCCAAAATATGGAAACAACAGCGGGTTGTTTAAACAGGGAGCAAGTTTGGGGTGGTTGACGTCATCACCTGAAAATATCATTGGAGAATTGAGGCCCAATATGTTAATAAGACAGAACTTATAAAATGTGAAGATCTCGTGACTCAGTGTSCATTTTGGGTGCAGCCTCAGGAGGAGGCTTTTGTCTGCCCTAATGTACCAGTAGGCCTGTTAGGCCTGTATTAAAGTTTTTTATTCTCATTCTYTTACRTTTGTCTGGCCTCTGTTTCAGGTGAGCCTGATTGATAAGGCATCACTTTCAGTTACAGTACTTAATAGTTGCTAATTCTTGTAACTTTTTACAAGGAATTTAAATTTCTACTGCTCAACCAATTTCATTAGCTTATCTAAAATTCTTCAAATTACTTGGCACCTGATTTATTGTTGGACTTAAAACCTATCTTAGTCCAGGCAGCTCTCCCTGATGAAAAAAAAAAGGGAGCAGAACATTCTCCTCTGCTTGAGGACGATCAATAAACAGGGACAAAAGCACAGCCCTTCCCAAACACTGGCACACTTTGAACCCCAGCTGAATCCCACATTTAAATACAGGCAGGTTGGTAGCAGAGAGATCATTGCACCTGGCCACACTCTGGCCAGAGATTTAAGGCTTTCCTCATCTGAACAGAGATATTCGAGCAACTTCCTGCTGGGAAGGCTACGAGGTAAGGAAAACCAAGAACAAAATGGCCCTGTCAGAGGTGGCCCCGCAGGCAAGCACGCAATGTGATGAAAGTCAGGGTGGAAATCTGAAACAGGAAAATGTTCCATCATTGAGGAGCTCTGTGTKTGCTTCTTGGCATGGTTTCTCTGCTCTCTTGGACAGCGCAACACAATGTTATTGCTTGGGCTTCCTAAAGATGGAGAGGGACAAGAATTCTTCCTTTTTCCTGAGGAAAGATCTGCCTCTGTTGTATGAACTGATTAGCACCACTGTGCTGTCTCTGGCTTACAGAAAGAACACTGAGAGAAGTACAGATAAAAGGGGCAAATCCAGACACAGCATCAGACCTGGTGATCATTCAGAACTCCTCCATTGCTGTTTTTGAGTTCTCCCGTTTTCCAGAAGTGGTTGTCCGTATATTTACATCAGTCAATTACATTTGCACTTGGCTGTAACACATTTCTTGCTGTACTTGCACTGTTTTTTTCCATTAACTCTTTTGCACATATATATTTATTACACCTACATTAACTTCAAGCATACATTTAGAACTAGAAACAGAGATGCTGGTGCCACAAAATCCAGCCTTTACAGTTATTGAACCCTACTTTAAAAACCTCTGAAAAGCTATACTTGGTAATAATCCCTCCCTTTCCAACAAGAAATGCCTCAAAAGCCTGCAGACTGTTTTCACTGTGTTATTTTGCCTTTCCTCAACTTTATTCTTCCCTTGGAATGAATTATCTGACATGAATATTATTTAATTGCTTTAGCACAAGGCCGTTTCCAAAGTAATTTTCCTGCACCTTCACACATTCAAGAACAGACCCTTTCTACAGAATCACRAATGCGTCCAGAAAACAAAAAATGCAAACGTCAATGTCTCGGTATTTATGTCAAATCCTGTCCCAGCTGTTGGGAATTTCTGTCTTAGCARCAGTGCTCAGTCTGAGGCACTTTCAGCATCACATTACACCTTCCACAGCCACTGGCAAAGGTGCTGCTTCCTGGGCTGCTCTCAAACACCTGCAGTGCACTGCCACCATGGAGTCTAAAGAGCCTGCAGTTGATAAACCTGMACCCAGAAGAAAGGAAAAGAAGGGAAAAGATCAGACAGCATGAAGTAGGTGACTATTTTTATTTTCCCTGGTGAGCTTGGCTTACAAATTCAGACTATTTCCTGGYACAGATCATCAAGGAAAGGGTGGGGAGGACAAACCCAAATTAGGATYTCTCAGTGCAGTGTCAGGTGGAGCCTCATCTATTTGTACGGCTGCTTTTATTACATGGTCATTTCAAGCCCATCACTTGGCTGAAAGCAGATATTACAGTCCTGGCTGCAGGAAGCCAAGGACTTCCAGAGGCACAGAAAGCACTCACACATTGTTTGCCAGGAAAGCATTCGTGTTTGTGATTCCATGCCATAAACAGTTTCCAAAATAATTCCTTGCAATATCTACGCAGCTATTGTAATTGGTAATTTTTGCATTTCTCTTTACATTTCTACCTTAAGGCTGAACTATGGTGAAGTCTGGGCAAATCCAGACCCTTCCTCCAGATCCCATGGT